GTCGCTTGGCGGACATGGTGCCTGAGTCTAAAGCGGCGACTGTTCCGTGGCAGATGGCCCGCTGGATTCGGCGGCAGAAGCTGCCAAAAACGGCGGCAAACTAGCCGTCTCTTAGTTTAAGGGAGTATTATTTTAAATACTAAGGTATTATAATAATTAATAAAAAAGAAAAAGTAATTTTAAGTATTATAAAAAATTACGTTAGTAATACTTAATATATTAATAATAAGTATTACGAAAATTAGCTTTAGCCTAAGTAAGGAAATCGTCGCCCTAGGTACGGTAAAAATAGAGACGTACTTTAAAATAATAACTTTTTATATTTTACTTATTAATACCCTGTTTTTTTTATATTTAAAAAATATAAATTAACTAAATATTATATTTAATAATACGAAAAATAGAATCTTTAGTAATAAGTACTTTAAAATAGTCGAACGATAATAGGAGTATATATTTATAAAGCTTATTAATAATACGAAGTTAATTAATTACTTAATAAAAAATAAGCTTAAATATTTATATTAAAGATTCGGGTACTTATTAGTTACGAGGCTATATAACCTCTTAAAGTAATTAAGTAATAATAATATTAAAATAAAGGCACTAAAATAGTTAATAAAAGTATATTACTAATATTAAATAAATACGTAAAGCTTACGTAAATTTAAGTTTAAATTATATAATAAGCTTAACTTTAACTAGGAAATCGTTATTAATATTTTCTATTTAAATAGTTAGTTAATATTATATATAATTAACGTAGTTATATCTTTTTAAATAAGGTAATTCCTTTAGGATTTATAAATAGAAATAGTATAAGTAGCTTTATAAAAAAGCTAAATTAATATATACTAAGGACCGCTAAATAATATTAGAACTAACGCTAGTACTAGCTTTAAATTAATAGAATTTAAAGATAATATAATAGCTTATAATATATAACTAAAAATTATACTTATTAAAGCGTATTATAGTATTAAAAAAGTAAAAGAAATATACTAATAATTAAAAAGAGCGTTTAGAATTATTAAAAAGGAAAATCCGAATTTTATTAATAATAAATACCTCTAAATAGTATTTAAATACTATAATAATATTATAAAGCCTAACGAACTTATACTAATATTATTAATATTTAAAGTATATTTAAAAACGACTTTAGCCTCGTTACTATTACTAAACATAAACTAACGAACCTAAGTAATTAAAAAAATAATACGGGTATTACGTAAAATAAGTATAAAAAAATAAGTTAATAAGGTAATTATTATATATAATAAGCCTAATATAGGGAGTAATTTAAATATATTACTAAATTTAAATATATAAATATAATATAAAATTACTTAATAATAAGCTAGGCTATATAAGTTAATTTTTATTAATAAGCGCTCTTATATAATTATAAAAAATCGTAACTAGTTATTTAAAATATTAATTACGGTAGTTAGACTGTACTATATAGATCTTAACGAAGTAATTTTTAATTTATAAAAAGAAAAAGAGCTAAGGAAAACTATATAACCCGTAATAGAAGTATAAGAAATTATTTTTAATAAAATCGTTATAATAGTATTAATAAATAATAAAAAAAAGGAAATTACTAAAAGGGTATTAATATTACTAATAAGACGTTATAAAAAACTACGATAGTAAGCCCTAATATAATAATTTATTATTAATAATAAAGTAATTAATACTTTTTATATAATAAAAAAAAAGCCGATTTCGAGCTAATAGTTAAACTATATAAAAAAAAGCGTAATTATAATTACTTAAAAGCTATATAAAAGATTAGATCTTATTAAAATAAATACTCTTTATAATTAAAAAGTTTATTAATTTATTTTTTATAACTTAGAGAAGTATATAAACTTTTATATATTTAAATTATAAATAGTTCGTAAAATTAAAAAAAAAATACCCTAGTTATATAAGAAGTCTAAATACGTAATTTAGGGATATAGCGACGTTAAAAAAGTAACGTTAATTATATAATTACTTATTATATAACGCTATAGCTAACGATTAATAATATTACTAATAATATTATTATAGAAAAAAGGATACGAAATTTAGAGCCGTAATATTACTTAGGCCTATACTTAATCGGCTATAGGGCTTATAAAAAAAATCCTAGCCTATTTATTAAAAAAAGTAGTTAATAAATACTTAAAAAGTACGATTATTAAAGTACTTAAGTTACTATATAGGCTTATAAAATCGGGTACTTATTAATAAACTATTTATTATAATTTTTATATTAATTAATTATTAATAATTATTTCTATATACGACCCGTACTTACTAATTTTAAAATACGAAAGTAACTAATTTAAAATTATTAAAATATAAATTAATAATATATTAAGCCTATTTAATATTAACTTTATAAAAAAAAATAAGGAGCTTTAAAAAGCGGGCTTTATAATAAAACTTAAAAAGGTTTTTATAATAAATACTCTTTTAATATTTAATAACGGGATTTTTATAATTAAAAAAGAAACCGTTGTTTTTTAATAAAAAGGGTAGGGTAAGAAAATTAACCTTATTAATCTAAACATAATTAATATTAAAAAGTAATATAAAACTAAGCTTATATAAAGGGTATATATTATAAGTATTTATTAACTTAAGGTAATTTTTAATTATACTAAAGTAGTATAAGTTATAAATTTAACTAAATAAGATATTAAAGTACTTAATAAATAGCTTAAGTAGTAATAAACGAATCTTAATTAAGGCCTCGTTTATTACCTAATTAACTTTATAATTAATAAGCTTTATATTTTTATTAATAAGTTATTTATAAATAATAACGACCTTATTTCGTAATTAAAATATATTATTATCCTAACTAATAAGAATATAAATAAGAGCGAATTTATTATATATAATAATATAATCTATTACTTATTAATTAAAAATAAGTAAGTAATAAGAAATATATTAATATTAAAGGTTTATAATATAGTTAATAATATTAACCTCTCTAATATAATTTTAATAACGTTAAAAAAGATTACTAATTAACTTAGCTTTTTACTTATTTTAATAGTTATTTATACTAATTCTTACTCGCTATATAAATACTTTATTAAATTAAGAATAATAAAAAAAAAGAGGCTTATAATTAATATTATAGCCCTTAAATAATCGTATAAAAAGTATAAAATACTTAAAATCCGTTAAATTAATAATAAAAATAACCTCGTAAACGCTTTTATAAAAATAGTATTAAATAAGGGATTAAAATAATTTATAAATAATAAAAAAGTTATTATATAAATAAAGGGATAGGTTATATAAAAAAAGTAAAAAAAAAAAAAGAAAAAGAGATAATTTAATAAACGGGCTCGAGGTCGAATTATATTTCTAATTATAATAGTTAAATTAAAAAAAAAAAAGTTAGTATTAAATTAGAAATCTAATTTAACTATAATTTATAGTTAACTATATAGGGGCTAATTAAGGGCCCTATTTCTAATTATTATAACTAGCTTAACTTATAGTTAGAACCTCTTTTTTATATTTATTATATAGATATTTATATAGTTTAATTAATCTCTTTGTTAACTACGGTTCGAGCTAACTACCTTGTAATAGGGATACTAATAATTATAATCCTTTTTTATTAAAGAGGCGAGCTTACAAGAGGAGAGAGCAAATCTATCCACTCCACTTCTTATGACCAGGATTTCGCGAAACCGAGCTGCTAGCTTGAGGTTGCACGGTTCTCATGCACCTGCATCTATAGTAACGGCATGGCCTGAAATGCTCCCAAACCGGTCTCCAATCAGGGTCGTTTCAACAGCTTCTGGAAAGGCACAAAGTCAAAGATTGATTCGGTTCCCATTCCACGCAATTTCCGGTATTCAGGATCAGGCGGAGGTGTTACGGGAAGGTGGAAACAAGTGTACACCGATATGAAGCGGTGGCTATCGGTCCGACAAAGTCTTGTTCCCAAGAAGTTGAATTTTTGACATGAGAGATATCCACCCCAGGTATATTTCAGATATGTCCCTGAATTGCAATGCGACATACAAATCGATATAAGAACTGGAGTAGGATGTGAATAAACCAGACTGCAGGGCAATTGCGACGTTCAACAAGTTGCGCAGCAAGCACAGTGTCATCATGGAAGGCCAAAAGCTTCGTATTCTCATCGTTGGAGCCGGTATAGGCGGTCTCACCGCCGCGTTGGCATTGAGCCGCGAAGGCCACGAAGTCTTGGTTTGTCATCGACCTCTTTTCCGTCGCGGTCTGGTGTCTAACCAGATGCTTTCAGGTGTTCGAGAAGTCAAAGTTCGCCGCGGGGATCGGTGCAGCCATTGGGCTAGCAGCAAACTGTACCTCTATCCTGCGAAAGATTGGTTTCGAGCCGGAGGAACACGGGTCCAGCATCTGCAACCTGGTTTGTACTTTGGTCAACTTTGGTCATATCCTCCAGAAGATGTTGCTAAAAGGGTATAAACAGTGGACTATGTACAATTCGGCTGGCAAGTGCTTCGTCAAGCAGGAAATTCCGTCCAAACTCGAATCGGAGGTGAGTTGCGCGCACCTGCTCGCATGAAGAGTCGAAAACTGATGAGAATAGAGGTTTTACTTCATCCACCGAGCGTATCTCCACTCAGGTCTTAAACACCAAGTCCTGCAACAAGGAGATACCGGCGGCGAGCTGGTTCAGCTGCACCTCAGTTGTGACATTACATTTCTAGATATCCAGAACGGCCAGCTGACGCTGTCCGACGGACGGAAGTATCATGGCGACGCGATTATCGGCGCTGATGGTGTCCACGTAAGAACTCTGTGTACCAAAGGTGGCGTTGCGACTAATGAAAGGCAGCCATTCACCCGGCAGTACATCGATGCTCACAAGAAGGTATTCCCTTTTCGAAAGCATTGCTACCGTTGGCTTTCATTTCTCCGAGGAGTACTATGGCCAATGACAACCGAACATCGGAGTATGCCAAACTCGGTATTTCCTTGACGGAATGGATGGAAAATGATCGCCGTATCATCTGCTATCCTTGTGCCGATGGCGAGATGTTGAACCTAGTCGCCATTGTACCGAGCAAAGAGGTGGAGGCGTCTGCCATTGGTTGGTTATCTTCTCAAGTGTATGGTGTGTGTTCACTAACGGGCCTCAGAAGCGAAATCTCCCAAGGAGAAGAAGAAGGGGATGCTGAAGTCGTTTGAGACTTTCGGTGATGGAGCCAAAGCTGTTCTGGAACAGGCCCCCGAGGAAGACCTGAAGGTGTGGCCTTTGTTGGACATGGAACCCCTCGAGAAATGGTCTGAAGGTCGCCTCGCCCTCATAGGCGATGCTTGCCACCCCTTCACACCGTGTGAGTGTACTCGATCAAAAGTTGAACGACTATCGGCTGACAAGACAAGTTATGGGTCAGGGCGCTGCAATGGCAATTGAAGATGCTGTCACCCTCGCTATTCTGCTACGGCGGGGCACTCTGGCAGAACAGGTCCCAGAGCGGCTCGAGTTGCTGCAGGTCTGTCGCAAAGAAAGAGCTGACCGCATTCAAGATTACGCTCGCAGAAATGGACAAGATGCAAGCGACTCGCAAAGAGGCCATCCCACTCGTACGTACTGTATGCCCGAAATTGTGATCCCAACTAACCCAATCAGCCAATGAGTTTCGAGGATGGACTGCTTATGCCAATCAACATAATGCGTGGGAGCACGCGGAACGGGTACTCCAACGAAGCCTGTCAGCTTGATGGTCTGCAAGTATCTGCTTTTACTCAAGAGCAAATGATAGAGCAGATAGCCAATCTGACGACAAGAAGACAGTTGTGTGCAAAGACCGTTTGGACGCTTGATTGAAGTGCGAATGTTAGGAAGTCGGGCAAGAATATCATAATGAGGTTCCCATCTCCAACGGGGCCAACGGGACCAACGCGTGTGCACCACACTTTCGCACATCAGCCACATTTGTCACCGCTGACGACTACTTGTATTACGTGTTCGCCTTGGTCAATATATTTAGTTATCGAAGTGAAAGATGGTATTAAACCATAAACAAGTGGAGCCTGGTTCAAATGATGATCGTTCCTCACGACCATCGTCTCAATTCTGTCGTAGAGCAGTGAAAGCGGGGGTTTTAGGCTCATTTAAGATAGAGTCACGACACGTCTGAGTTCGAATTTCTGACCGAATGACCGGAGACTATGTGGGAAACGAATCGCTCCATGCTCAAATCAGAGTCAAACGATAAAATTGGAGCGTCTTTAGATGCATGTTGGGCTTTTGTGATGCAAAGTCTGCCATGGGCTTGGCAGAAGAAGCTCGTCAACTGGCAAGTGCCATAACTATCAGCAAGAGGAGTTTGAAGCATGACAAGGCGTTACGGGACTGCCGGAAAGTGATGAGCCAGCATCGTAATGCCTGAGGTGCGTTTATCTAACTCGACACGCTGTTTCAGATGATACGAGGGGCGCTCCTGATACGTTCACTTGGCGTTGGACCTATGCGAACGCTTCTACGTCTTCCACAAATTCAAAGAGAAAACTCATCATGTAGAAGTATTCATGAAAACTCAACGTGCTTGAAAATATGTCAGGCAGACTGCCAGCTTGAGCCGGTAGCAGTCCGCAGTAGTAAGTACAAGAATGACACAACACCAATAATCATTGGCCAAGCTTGAAGAGTCATGAAAGCATGCCATAACCATTTTGGATACGTTTAAAGTCGACACTCCTGCTGTGAAAGAAGCTACGGCTCAGGTGAAGACTTGAGTGGGTGATCAAAAGGGAACCAGATGAGATCGGCCTCACTAGCGGCGATGCATTGCGGTCTTAAACACCATTAGCTACGTCAGCAACAGCCGAAATGCCGTCAAGGGTGGAAGCGGCTTTCGGAAGGCATTTTGGACAGCCAAATTCCGTCAACAGTAGACCTGTCAACACTGCTGGTAAGATATCCCAACTTCAGCCAAGCACTCTGAGCAGTTTAACGTTGCTCATAAATCTGGACCCGGACAGCAAGAGACCTCAAATTCCCTGTCTGAATTCTAAGCAAAAAAGCACCATATATACCAAGCAAAGAACGTATTTGTGATTATCTCCAAGGTTATGGAGGAATTAGGCCAAAGACAGTGACAACAAACACGACCTTTCGTCGAGCACAACCTTTTCCTATAGCTTCGGCCATGGTACACAAGTTGCTACGTAACGGAACTACATATGTACCTTGCTCGGAATAGCCCCACACAAGTTAGGGGCTCTCTTTTGAAGACATCGCTCAACGGTACAGTTCCAGCTTCTGGCAGTCCGGCTGCCATCCGTCACAGAATGTACGGTCTGCGTAATGATCCACTACGTAATTTGTGCGAGCCTCATAGCACATAGCATGCCAAATTAGTGGAAAGATCCACTACCGGATCTATGACTCTAAACTCCGTACTGAACAGCGAACTTTCTATAACGGGCTCGGGCAAAAAAGTGAGGCCCGCCTTCGCCCTCAGGGAAGCATGCGAGGGCGAACGATACATAAAAATCAGATCCTGGATTTGCTAAAAACGGCTACCAGGATAAGTTCTTCCCCCTAGCTTTCAGCGCGAAGATTAACCGCTTCAGGAAGGTACTTGGGCTCATATATCTGTAGGGCCGAATGTCGGGTTCTTTGCTTTCTTGGAGGTTAACTTCGGTAATGTACCGTTTCAATTCCCCGATGGTGTCATTATTTTCTTTCGCGAGTAGTTATGTTCATTTAAAGAACTTTTTTTTTCAAAAAAATAAAATAAAAACTGTCTTTATGTGGCATCTAAATGTCTTCTATCCGCTGCGTCCAGCCGGAACAATCATTCCAACCTCTCAATATGCATCAATCGACCAAGGACACAACCATCCCCGCCGGCTCCTGGGTGCTCATTACCGGCGCTACAGGCTTTATCGCCTGCCATGTAGCCCGTCAACTCTTGAGGCGCAATTACAAAGTCCGCAGTTCGGTTCGGAACCTAGTCCAGGCATCGTGGCTTATTGATCAGCTCTTCAAGTCACATGTTGATCGAGGCGAATTTGAACTCGTTGAAGTTCCTGACTTAGGCGCGGAAGGTGCTTTCGACGAAGCTGTGAAAGGAGTTTCTGGAATCATTCACCTGGCAACTATTACCAGTCTCGACCCCGACCCGAAATATGTATACCAGCTCTTTTGTGGCCCTCATTTTGCCGCGGGCTGGGGATACGACGCATGTTACACAACATACCTGGAACGAAGCCGCCGTCGAAGCTGCGTGGGCGCCACCTCCCTACGAGGCTTCTCGCAGCATGACCACATACGCGGCAAGCAAGGTCACTGCTGAGAAAGCTGTCTGGAATTTTGTCAGCGAAAAACAGCCTCATTATAACGTCAACTCGATCAATCCGTCTGGTGTGTTAGGGGAGCCTTTGCACAGAAAGCATGCTGAGGCAAAGTCCAACTGGCTCAACCACATTTGGAACAATAAAAGGAGCCTCCTGGATCCCTACCCCGCCGGTGAGTAACATGGAGCATATTGACACGTATCAAGGAAATTATTGACAGGCAACAGCCTATTATGTAGATGTCAAGGACGTTGCATTGCTCCACGTGGCAGCCATGCTTGACCCGGCTGTTCAGAAAGCCCGTGTGCAGGCTTGGGGCAACAGCGCTCATTGGAACGAGTTTTTGGCTATTTTAAGAGAGACGCGGCCAGACCACGCCTTCATAGAAGACTATCCAGAGACTTTCCATCTTGCTGTGTCGATTGACCAGAGTGAAGGCCTTAGCTTGTTGAAGAAATGGGCAGGTCAGGAGGGATGGAGGACTCTGCGGGATGGAATCGTTGATAGTGTAAGCAATGTCTACTTCTAAGGTAGCTGGGATGAAAGAGTACATGAGACACCATTATCTACTTCGCTCGTACTGCACCGTCGCGGCGACACACTGGAGTCACTATTTTGCCTTGGTTGTTGTATAGCGTTATACACAGGTGAAATTATCACCGTAGATGGACTGCCCTCAGAGTGTTGTCAGATGCTGTAGACCAATAACCGAGCCACCTCTGAAACGGCCAGCTCTACCTATATCTCTAGCTAGGTTACAGACACCCAAAAGACCTAAAGCCCAGTCCCGTCGAAGGTATCCTTTAGTTTCTGAAATATAGAAAGAACTAGAACTTGGGAACTTAAACACATTTCAGAAAAGTAAACCTCGCTTGCGCCCAATGAAGCTGAATCCTGTTCTTTGGTGCAGGTCATACTTCTCAGGGGGACGAGTCTCAATGACCAGTGTACAGAGCGAGAATATTTGCGGGATAGGATATCTGATCTGCTTTTTCTATTCTCGAACCAACTACGCATGCTGTATTAAATCGTCAAGTCGAGACTACGGATAACATTGAGTCTTTGACTTTTTATACTAGTAAACTGGATGACGAGTGCGAGAAGCTAGGAAAATGGATGCTCAATATTCTGGATGAAGTAGAAGACTGGATAAAGAATAATATGAGAGGCCTGATGGGGAGTATATGGCTAAATAGCTCGAAGATAAACTAGGTAGAACGGTAAAAGGGAATATTATCGATAGAATTGCGGCTCTGTTACTGTAGGTGAGTGCAAAGATGCACAAACCTTCACAAGACTAGTTGTTACTCAGGCTATATCGATGCTCGCGTCGAGAAATTGCTGGGTAGCGTCTTACCTTCCGGATTCTCTCTACTCAACCCGAGATGTTGCTTAAACATTAGTTTGGCATTACACGTACTCTCTAACGCCGCTCTATTTCAAGCTATGCACACGACGCAAATGATGGAACAACAGCCAGGCCGTTCACGGGAGGAAAACAATCACGCATTCACATAGGTAGACCACCGAGAGGTTAAAAGCAAATGGGATCCCAATTTCTATAAACAAAAAGCAAAACAAATTCGAACCGTGTACAATCTACTGTTACATGAGATAGCGAGCTTCCTGTGACCGACCTCTCCATGTCCCTTAGCCGACGATGGTCTGGCACTCGGCCTCAGACTTGTTCAGCTCTCCAATAGCCTCGGCCTCGCAGCCGGCAAATCCGACAACATCGAGGAAGATCCCGATAGGGCCGCTGACAACAGCAAGACCTAGCGCAGCGGTACCGCAGATTGCAATCTTTCCTACAGCAGACGTGACGGCGCCAGTCTGGCATTGGCTGCAGAGAGTGCCACAGTTCATCTCTCCGAGCTTGCGGCCTTTGCCACCGCCATTCTCGATGGCCTCCATGGCAGCGTTGCGAGCTCCCGTGAGTCTGTCTTGAGCCTGCTTGAGCTTAGGGTCCTGGCGGGCGATGAACTGACTGGCGCCCGACCCGTCGTGGTTGGCAATGGCGGGGCTAGGGGCAGCCATGCCAGTGGCGGCAAGAAGAGTGACGAGGATGGCAGAGGCGTGCATCTTGATAGTGTTGGTGTTGGTGGTGTTGTTGGTGTTGGTAAAATGAGGGTTGGTTTTGAATGAGTGTAGGTAATGAATGTTTGAAGGAATGAGCTGAATGGTATTGTAGTGTGGAATGATCGTGATGAGGAGAGAAGTATGCACCTTTGAACGGGAGAATATCTTGATCCTTTATAGTCTCCAAGTCCACCTCATTCTGGTGTCTTTCGGATGGTCCAATGGCCAGTACGAGATCACTCGCATGTTGTCCCTTCAACATCTCAAGACGTAACGACACGGCAAGACCGATTCTTCTGCCCTATGCACTACTCTGTATAGTGCCTCGTGACTATGAGTCTTGGCTGCGACGAAAGATGAACTCTCAAAGGAGGCAGAATTCAGAAGGACCAGAACTTCCTGCATGAGATTCTCGATCAGGCCTAGTTCCGGGTCTTGGCGAGGAAAGTCATGTATCTGGATGAATTATTGTCCTGCCAAGGCATGCTCAAACTGTCAGATCTGTGTTTCCGGGGTCCCCGGCACTGTCAGCAGATCATACAGCGATAGGAGCGGCTATTAAAGTTAGACATAAGAGCCTGGAATGCAGTTGCCGTGCGATTAGGTACATGGGGATGATATTCTCCCGATAACCGGTGCAGCGGATGAGCCCTCCTGCGGGCCGTGTTTGCGCTAACTTGTTAAAGTATATATAGTCGTAAGGTTGACTAGGAACGACAGTTTCCGATTCATTTTAGACCCGCTGATGTGGATAGGGCCATTGGGCGAGCCGCGAGACTTGATCGAGACGGGCCGATCAGGCCGAAATACCCCAGCCCTCAAGGGTCCTGGCACAAGGTAAGGGTGGGTTGATTGAAGAGTAGTTTCCTAATCTGCACAGTATGCTATCGTCCGTGCAGTGGCATGTGAACTGGAACACTATAAATAGACTTCCTCTATAATAGATGGATCTTGTCACATGTGGGAGAGGCCATAAGCTACCAGTATTGACAGGTAGCTATTATGAAGATTTGTATCTTGCCGTTCGGTATCGGATTCTGTATTAATTCGAGGCCATCTACCTTAATTCAAGGCCGCGGAAGCATACAAGTTCATCGTAATCTGTCGCAGGATCGGTAACGGGAACGATGCCAAGTAATGGGATCCCGGGCGAACCATAATTTTCTAGATAGGCTCGGTTTCATCCCGGTCATTGGCCGAGAAGTAATGTAGTTCTGCAAGACATGATAGCCGCACGTCACATGGAATGTCCCTAAACATTACATACTATCTACTTCGTTCAGTACCTTATTCACATCGTAATAAGCCACAAGAATCTTGACTGACAGCGTTCATCTATCGCAACGTACATTTGATCAAGGAGCATTCCGCATCAGCAGCTTCGACGCCCAATTGCCGCCATACAGAGGAAAACTGTCAAGCGAGTAAGGCCAAACAATTTTCGTGGCCAGGCCTGTGTCTATTCCGCAAAGCTTAAGCCCGTGCCTTAGTCATGGGTCCAAAGAAACTATCCGTAGACTTCCTCTAGGCCCATAAGGCTGATGTCTGCAGGGAAGTGAGCTTTGACCCGAACGCTAAACTACATTGGACTCGTTCTGGATGGAGGCGTGGGGCCCCGATAATCTGCATGTGCCCGGTGGCTAGCAGGGATGTCATTCCCTTTGCCATTGCGCCCGACAACACTGCCAGGGTCCAAGGATTTGATACTAAGATGGATTTCGGTTATAGTCGAGAGCTTTGTCTTACGGTCCTCGACGATGGTTTCAGCATACTACCGGCTATAGGGGGAATTCTAGCCTTGTCTCAACACGTTACGAGATCAACTTTTATTGCGGGCGTCTGGCAAGACGATTTGGGGCTTGGCTTGGCCAAGAAATCTTGTGATATTAGTCGAATTGGTGGGCGTGTCAGGCGAAGCCTACATCAGCTATCTTTTGAGCAATTATCAATCAAAAGTTTGCACGCATGCTGGCTTCATGACTTCAACCGAGTCATACTCAAAAGTATGCTTCCAGTCTGATTGCAAGGCACAAGATGGTAGACCATACACGGACATAGGTATTTAGAAGAAGTAGAGAATGGATTCGCTTATTTCGGTGCACGCGTTTTCCAGGCTACCCAAAGTCATTACGGGCACTTTAAGAACTATGGGTCTGCTGACATCTTGAGTGCAACGATACTCACAGACCTAGGCGTACGGTACAATGATCTTTGGTCTTCATGCCAAAGCTTAGGTCAGAATGTTGATGGAAGGCTGGCCAACGCATGAGAGATTAGTGTAGTTAATTTCATCTAAGTATCTTCTTGTTCTACCTCAATCAGAATCCGTGCGAACAGTGATCGTCAGACTCGGTCAAGTCGGCCATGTTAGGACCATGCGTTTCTTCTTATGATCAACTGTTCTCAGGGGCAAGCGCCTACATTCTCGATCTTCCAAAGCTTGCCGTTCATCTCATTAGATGGAAGATTGATGGCTTGGTTCAGTTTCAGATTCAAAACTTCCTGTCATTCAAACATACGTGACTTACCAATGATGAAGTAGCTTGTGATGCTTGACTGCTGCATGTTGTCATATTGATGTCCTGGAAGTCAGCTGTGCAGTTGTACAGATGACCGTTGATTAAACAGAAGGAGACCAAGTTAAGAGATGGAATATAGCGCCACTTTGGAACGTAGACAGTTATTACCAATCCCAAGCCTAACATGAGCTCAGGCTTGGTAAATTACCTCGGTTTGGTACGTTGATAGCTTTCTCAAGTTTTGTCTACCTTGTTTTCACTTGCGATTGATTTTCACTTAACGAAAAAGATCGGAACTGAGACAGATGTATATTGTCTATTTTTCAGAGGCTATCAGCAATCTCAGTAGATGTGAGCCCTCCTTCTTACTCAGGCCTAATGACCGTTTGTATGTTGGAATGTCTGGGAAGTGATCATTAGGATCATCAAACCCTTCCACGATATGCCCGTACCCGGTCTTGCAAGCCGTATCGATAATAGTGTCGCTTGGACTCAGAACAAGATCCAAACAAAAGCTCGACAACAGGCAAGTGACCATGTGCAGTCCCGGCTTTTAGCGCGAGATCGACTTCGGAATCAAACCCGACATGTGACCCCTTTTCCGCTACCTTCACCAAAAGTTGCAATGTTGAGAGATGGCCATTCCTTACAGCTGCTAAAACTCCCTTGTACTCACAATGTTTGCACCGCAGCTTAAAAACGTTTCGAAGATCTTTTCGTGCCCCTTTGAACTTGCAGCACGTATTGGTGTCCCGAATTGGCTGCTTGCTTCGACGTTCAGCCCTTGAACAAGGAGAAATCGCACCGTGTGCAGATGAAGGTCGAGCACTGCTGTAGCAAGGGAGTCATATGGAATTTCTATAATATCATCTCAGTGATGATCAATCAACCAACGAAGCCTGGATACCTGGCCCGCTAAGATTACTGCCTCGACATTCTGTTCTGAGTGGAACTTCTTCCTGTCACTTTGTAGAGCTTGGAGCGCATTGACGGGCTTGACAGCCCCTGCGTCAGCCGAAGTCTCTGTGGTCGATGCGATCTCATCTTGCTGGAGGATTGTAGCCAATATCTCTACTAGCCTAGTTGCGACTGATTCGTGACTTCCTCGGTTTGCAGCATGAAGAGCACAATTATGCACCGATCCAGAATCCTTCACGTGGCTGCACATCAATACTACTATGATTCGCTTTCGGTCTGCAAAACCATCCTAATTGCGACACCCAAATGAACATTATGTTCCCTACTGACTCTTTTTCGTTGCCATAACGCTTCGGACACTTTGTTCCAGGTTCTCAACGTCTCAGAGTCTTTGAATTAGTATGTATTCAGCATCGGGCTATACAAAGGACGAATGTCTAAAAGTCCTTGACCCACGGTCTTTAGGTGACTATTCATTTACAACTTAAATGAACTCTGGAGTTTCAATTATAGCTAACTGGGCGAGCCAAATAAAGTGTGCAGATCGCCGAATAAGCCCAAGACGCAGAACGATACACAATCGAGATGCTAGAATCCTATTACGTTAATTTTATTGTAGATGCTTCACTGTTCTCCAAATTCCTCGATGCTGAGTTTTGTTTGGTTTATTGTTGAATCCCAAGAGCCTTAATATTCGCAAATGGGTGGGCCTTACGTATTGTTCAGATGTTTAATGGCTTTTACGCACGCGATGTTCGGCCTTTTCCCCTTTTGGGACCTGCTGGAAACGAGGGCGTATTATTTCTTGTCCCCCCTTTCTTTTCTTTTTTCTTTTTTTTTCTTTTTTTTTTGTCTGCGAGGAACTTTATTTTCTCGTGCCACCCCCAACTCCATGCCTAAGTATTCAGATAAAGTTTGGCTGTACCGGTAGAATCAAGTACGGTCACCCGACATTTCAGAATTTCTCTATACCTTGAACATTCCTGCCATGACCAGACTGGCCAGTCCACGCAATGTGGAAACCACCATCAATTACTATCGAGATCCCGGCGATGGAAGTGAGCATGCACCAAGCATTGCGGGAAAACGGAGCACATTCACCCAGCCATCAGTCGATTTTGCCACTGTTGTTCACGATATCACTGGGAATGAAGGCAGCTTCACTCTCGACAGCCATGGCTTTCAGTTCTGTCGCCACGCTAGTCAGTTAGTGGATTTTGCGAGTGATCAAGAAATTAAAGAAGTTTATTACCCCGAGATCGAAAAGCTTCTATCGCAAATGTAAGTATTCCTTTAGACCGTCGTAATCGGGAACATCCTTAATCCATACCTAGCACTGGCGCCTCACGGTTGCACATTTTCGACCACACCATTCGGAGACCGAATCCCTCAGCCGCGCACTCTGATGATGAACGCCGACCAGTGAAAAGAGCTCACATCGACCAGTCAGAGTGGGGGGCTATGAACCAAGTTAAACGTCACTTGGGCGAAGAAGCGCCTCGACTATTGCAATCACGATTCCAGGTTATCAACGTTTGGCGACCAATCAAGACAATCTACAAAGAT